CCCCCCCCTTCTTTTCGTCTATTTGAGTCTCTGTATCGCAGTCAGTTTGGTTGAGAGACATATCTTTTGTGGAGGCTGGTTCTTCACACAGCCAGATGTATAGGCTGGCTCCTGAAACACTGGAAATGATGGACAGAAGCAAATTGCGTACACATGGAAAGTTTCAGGAGCAGAAGTAGCGTTCTTTTGTATCAACCAGATGTTGATAAACTGTCCTTTCTATGGGAGGAAGTATTGCCTGTCCATAGAAGATAGGTGATGACCTGAGTATTTAAGTGGAGTAAGGGACAGAAGATGGATCAAGGATGAACTGAATGCATCTAACACTGTACATAAACCATCAGTGATAGCTCTGTAGGATTAGGATGGAGATAAGAAGAGTGCAGAAGAGTAGGAAAAGCTCTAATTGAATCCAGACCATGCTCACAGAGTCAGAACAGCATCCAGCTTTGTCTGTTCTCATTCCATTGATTGTTAATTATAGCCTGTAGAAATGTTTCTCATCTGGATAAATATGAGATATTTTTATGTTTCATCACATGATGTCTTGATGTTTTTAGCACTGACTATGTAGAAGATACATTACAGCCTCTTCCATCTGACTGATTCTCAGGTGTAGCCAGAAGAGGTTATTGTCCTGAAGGGGACTGGGTGGCAGATGAGGTGTTTATGCACTGACAGGGGGCTATTGCTTATGAAACCCTTAGCAGGCACAAACACGGATTGTCGCAAACTGGATGAGGTAACAGATGAGACATATATACACTGACTGAGACCTATTGCATATGACACCAGGGAAGTGCTTGTGCTTCAGGAAGCACAAGCAGAGATTGCCCCGAATGAGTGAGACAGCAGGTGAGATGTATATGCACTGCTTGAGGTTAATTGCATATGATGCTGGAGTCTTAACCTTTTAGGAGGCACAAGCCCAGTCAAGCTGTAAGGAATTGAGGGACTGGAACAAAAGCTGAGGTTAGAAAGCAAAATAAATCTTAACAACAAAATGTACTGTTAGTAGTTAAACAAGAAGGGTTAACCATTAAAATGTTGACAACTCACTTATTACTAAGTTTTATACTACAGCTGGACCATAACTATTGACTTTAAAGGATCCTATAGTCTTGAAACTTAAAACTTAACAATGAAAATTGCTTAATATGAATTTTACTAATAAAGACAAAAAAGGAGTTAATATCTCTCACCCTCACCTGGCTGCAGTTGGATGTCCCTGGGCTGGTCCTAAATCTCAAGAACTGATCTCTCTGGCCGACGTCCCCGCTGGAGAGGAGAAGGTCCAGCACCCTCCTGGGAAAGTGTATGGGAAGTCTCCTGATTAAAGATGGGACCAGGCTTTTATACAATAAAGTGGATTGACTACTGCCATTATTACTACTATTTAGCCCTACCTCCAAAATCTCTCATTGGAGAACAAAAGGAAAACAGTGGAAAAACCACAAAGGCCCTTCTTTTCACCAAGCAGACTTTTTTTTTTAAAAAAAATCTCTTGGTTCTTACTTTATATCCATTCCAGGCCTAATTGAGGCTGAGCTGGGCTCTGTGTTCTTCAGCCCTGGAGAGCAGCTGGTGGTGTGAACATCAACTTGGCCCCTGTTTGTACCTTTCAAAGTTGTTGCCAGCAAAGAGCTTGCTAGGTCCTTTCCTTTCTCATGGGAATCTTTCCACTCCAGGCCTGGGCCTGCAAAACTGAGAGACAAAAAGCAGTTGAATCATAGAGGAAAAACGAGACAGGCATATTGAGAGATGGAGTGTCCTGCTACAGTTATGGACCAAGTCACTGTTTGTGCAAACTGTCCCTCTTATCCCCAGTAGATGTCAGTGATCTTTTGAATGGTGACGTATTAAAAGCTTGGCTAACTTGAGAGAAGTGCAGTTAATAACATTTAATGGGATCTCTCAAAGGTATCATGAAAAATAATACTAATTTGTTTGCAAAAAAAGGATGACTTTTCTGTGGAATGGTAAATGTATGGTGATGCAGTTTATTTGAAGGCCTGAAACATAGACAAGCTGTTCAGAAAGCAGAGATCTTGGCTGGCACAAGACAGCACAGATTCACTGCTTGTCTGGGGGCTAGCCAACATTCTGCTTTCATCATATAGAGCTGCCAAAATTGTTCTAACTGAACCAAAAGAGCCTAAATGTGAGCAGAATTAGCTGAAGTGTTAACAATTGTTTCTTACTAACATCATGATGAGTTCTGATTGTCAGATTGGGTGTGTGTCTCATTCAAGCAGTGATCAATTATTTTTATACTAACATGACGTTTCCTGATAAGCATCAGGTGTTTCTTCCTTGGCAGTGAATGGCTGTTCAGCATTTTTTTCTATATACTCTATAAAAGGTGAGAACAGTTGCCTGTATTTCACTTCTTTCTGCTACAGATAAGGAATTTACTGAAAGAGTTGTTATTATTAAGGTATTCCTTATGCTATTTCCACTACCCAGGCGTTTTTCATTGTCAACAGGCTTTTTGATTGAGAATTCAAAAGAATTAATTTCAGAACCCTGTAAATACTCCTTAACCAAATGGTAAAGTGATTACTGATGGAATCATAGAATCATAGAATCTTAGGGCCTGGAAGGGACCTTGAGAGATCATCTAGTCCAACCCCCCTGCCAGAGCAGGGTCACCTAGAGTACATCACACAGGAACTCATCCAGGTGGGTTTTGAATGTCTCCAGTGAGGGAGACTCCACAACCTCCCTGGGCAGTCTGTTCCAGTGCTCTGTCACTCTTACAGTAAAAATTTTTTTTCGGATATTCACCTTGAACCTCCTATGCTCCAATTTACACCCATTACCCCTTGTCCTATCACTGGTCATCACTGAGAAAAGCCTAACTTCGTCCCCCTGACACTCACCCCTTACATATTTGTAAACATTGATGAGGTCACTCCTCAGTCTCCTCTTCTCCAAGCTAAAGAGACCCAGCTCCCTCAGCCTTTCCTCATAAGGGAGATGTTCCACTCCCTTAATCATCTTCGTAGCTCTGCACTGGACTCTTTCGAGCAGTTCCCTGTCCTTCTTGAACTGAGGGGCCCAGAACTGGACACAATACTCCAGATGCGGCCTCACCAATGCAGAATAGAGGGGGAGGAGAACCTCTCTTGACCTACTAACCACACCCTTTCTAATGCACCCCAGGATGCCATTGGCCTTCTTGGCCACAAGGGCACATTGCTGGCTCATGGTCATCCTCCTGTCTACCAGGACCCCCAGGTCTCTTTCACCTACACTACTCTCCAGCAGTTCAGCCCCCAACCTGTACTGGGACATGGTGTTGTTCTTCCCCAAATGTACAACTCTGCACTTCCCCTTGTTGAATTTCATCATGTTTCTCCCCGCCCAATTCTCCAACCTATCTAAGTCTCTCTGAATGGCAGCACAGCCTTCTGGTGTGTCAGCCACTCCTCCCAGCTTAGTGTCATCAGCAAACTTGCTGAGGGTACATTCTATACCCTCATCCAGGTCGTTGATGAAGATGTTGAACAACACCGGTCCCAGTACCGACCCCTGAGGGACTCCAGTACCTAGTTAAGTCCCTCTTGCAATTGCTAAGCCCATTAGGCTCTGGGAACCAGAGGCATTGACAAAGGATGCTGTAGAATTACATAATGCAACAATTCCTCATTACACTCTGTTAATTTAGGACCATATCCAAAGCCCACTGATGACAATGCTAGTGATTTTGGTTAACTTTGGTGCATGGAGTGAAATTCATCTTTTTTCCTGCAGGCATCTGACACGTTCCTCAATTCCTACTTGAAATGAAGGATGGAACATTACAGAGACCTCTGCACAGAGGTTAATTTCCAGAAATAAGGCAGCATGTAGCTTACTGGTTTATGTCAACCACTTGCCCTTCATCTGCTGTCATATCCCCTTCTTATTTCAGATTTGAATTACACTACTCCATCTAACACTAAATAAATGTTTTAATGGTTTATTTTATAATTCCAGATGGGAAAAAGCAAGAAGTAAATCTTGGTGGAGGGACACCTAGACATTGTTTCTTTGAGCTGATGCCTGGAACTCAATATAAAATCAGTGTTCATACACAGCTTCAGGAGATAGAGGGCCCTGCTGTAAGCATCATGGAGACAACATGTGAGTAAAATAGATCAGAGTTCAGCCTGCAGCAGCAAAGCTTGGTTGCTTCTCATATTTTGCTCTTTGCCCACAGATGTGCTATTCCTACCCAGTTCCCTTTTTAAACTACAATGTGACTCCTTCACAGAGATGCAGGATTCTTACACCACAAGGAGGTTTAGCTTTCTTGATAACAAGTCCCACTGTGGGATGCTCTGAATATCTGTGACTGTGAAAAAGAAAAAAAAATAATCAGAGAAGGTATCATGCAGCTTTCCAACTGCATAACTAGTTCATTAGAGATAATGAATTTTAAATATGAACATGAGTAGAAAATGGTGTGTTTAATATAGCTAAAATATATTGGGCTTTTATGCATTTTAAGATATTCTTCCCTTTTATTGTCCAGTACCATTTCCAACTCAAGCTCCAACAACACCTTCAACACCACCTCTACCACCTACAATCCCTCCTGCAAAAGAAGGTAAGTGTGACATGTATGGGTTATAATAATTTTAAGTGTTGATGCCATGTTTTTCTGCTTCTGATACTATTTTAGACCTGTGGGTATCAGATGTCAAAATACATTTGCTACAGTGACACTATTAAGGCAGCTGGCTTAAATGAGCCAAAAATCTGACATCGTCATTGCATTGTTGAAATGTGCAGAAAGAAGGGTTAATGTGTGTGAGGTTTTCTTTTTCCATAACTCCCACCCCACGCATGTTTTGCAACTGAAGCAGACAACCTAGAGTAACAAAACTATATGATGTTAAAAAAATGTGTATCTACTTTAGGTAATAAGAAAGGTGTAGGCCATGTTCAGTCTCTTTTCTCATAAAATATAGACTTTCTCCTATGGATCATTTGACCATGCAGTGTTTTGTAAAGAGTCTTCTAAATATTTCTGTGATGGGAGCATTATTATTAGAGACTGAAGGTCAGATCTGTCAGCTTGAAGTCGGTGGACCAAACTGATGTACAGTAATTGAGAATTTAATCCTGAAGTAGAGAAAAAAAAACAAAACATCCCAAACTTGTGTGTGTTAGAAATGCATAGCAGCAGATGGGTTTCTTGGTTTGGTTGGGGTTTTTTTGATCCAAGGAATAATCAATAGAAAATGAGAAATGCAGGTGTGTATCTTCCTGTCCCATTCTCTGGAGTTTTCTTGAGACCAAGTATGTTTGAATACGCAACTGCTTTCAAACTGTTTTTTTCTGATCTCAATCAATAGACTTGGACTCTGTAGAGTGTTAAAGGTTCCCAGCTCCCATGAAGGAGGGAGCAACTTCTGTGAGCAGGTGTACAGCTCTGCAGCCCATTTTGCATAAGAACATGCTGGAATAAGATGAGATGGGGAAACCTGAGTAGCTCCGAAGTAGTGCAATTAAAGGGGGGAGCAGCAGGTACTACAGACCTTGGGGACTAGTTTCCCACTGGCAATCTTCACAATCTAGAGTTTCTCATCTTGTTTACTGTATCATGCTTGGAGTCTGGGATTGTCTAGAGTTCGTGTATGACTTCACTTAACAACCTAAATAAAGGTAAAAACAGTTTGCCAGGTTTTAAAGAACCTTGTTATATGGCCTTGAAGTGTATTCTACGATAGGATCTGTCAGTGCAGACTATTCACCTCTCGCAGAGCTCAGCTGGTTCTACACCTGCACTGAAATCAATGCCAGCAGGTCTGTTAAAGCATTATTAACTGACATTAGACAATGGCTTTTCATGACAGTTGCATTTTCTTAAGTGATTGATTAGATTTCGTGAGGACTGAGGCATTGCTCTAATTCCAAAATACTTGCTTTTCTTTCTCAGTGTGCAAAGCAGCCAAAGCTGACCTAGCATTCCTGGTGGATGGGTCATGGAGTATTGGAGATGACAATTTCAATAAAATAATTAGCTTTCTTTATAGCACTGTTGGAGCTTTGGATAAGATTGGTCCTGATGGAACTCAGGTAATAAACATGTAGAGAGAGTGAAAGTGCGTGGACTTGACAGGGTATTTTAGACTAGCATCTGTGCTAGTGGAATGTATCAGAAAAGTAATTACCATCATTTCATGGTCCTTTATAAAATATAGACTGCTTTAGGACAGTATTTTTTTTCAGTGTCTTCTTTTACATGCACCATATGGTGAAATTAATAAGAATTTTGCTTGCATGAGGACTAAGTATAATTTCAGCCTCCTCTAGATCTTTCTAATGAGACTTATGTTGTGTCAATATTTTTTGTATTGATACTCACAGTGGTGCTTATTTCTAAATAAGCTAAAAATTGAAACAATAAGGAAAATTAAAGGTTCATTTATTTATAATCACACTCTACAGAATCTACAGTGCTTAAAATAAAATATAGGTTTTACAATGATTGTTTTATTTATTTTTGTAGAGAGGTGCTTGAATCTGTTCCAGGAAAGATTATTGGCAAATATATATTGCTGGTTTAGGTGCTACCTGCATAATACGCATTTAAATATAATATGCTGAGATAGCATTTTAAAATATTTTTAACTTGTCCAAACTCTGAAGTATGCTCAGTTTTTACTGTTTCTTTCTATGTGGCTATTTTCCCAGAATATAGTGCTTCAGAAACTTATGCACAAGCATAAGCTTAAGCATGTGAATAGCTCCTTTTAAATCAGGGACATCACTTACAAAATATGAAGTTCAATATAAGTTTTGTGAGTTGTAGGAGTTTAGTATTGAAATACAGGTCTTGGACTCCTGTAGACCATATTTGGAACATATTTCAGAATATGTTCTTGCATCTTTCTTTTGCTTGCTTCAGTATTGCTCCCTAAATTACTTATGTGCAGCTATTAATTTGTGGAGATGGAATAGAGTCCCTGCAGTTCTGTGTATGACTAACTGTACACGTGTGAGCAGCTGTAACTGCTCTCTGCTTTTGGGATTGAGTGAGAGTGCTTTTGCCAAAGTGGGTTTTACTTTTCTCATCCTGTTTGCTGGAAAATGAAACCAGAAAGTGTTAGGTGGTTGCCAAGGCTGCAGAGAGTAAAATTAAACTTCATTTAGTGAAAGCTTCTTAAAGAGAAAAACATTTCTGGCTTCAATTTAAGGATGAAGCAAAGTTACAAGATAAATCCTTGTTTCAAACATGCTGATTCATTACTTTTTGCTTATACACTGGGTGGTGCTTTACTAATAAACACATCTTCTGTGTGCACAGGTGGCAATAATTCAGTTCAGTGATGATCCCAGGACAGAATTTAAATTAAATGCATACAAAACAAAAGAGACTCTCCTTGAAGCTATTCAGCAAATAGCCTACAAAGGAGGAAATACAAAAACAGGTGAGAAAAGTCATTCTTATGATGCAGGTGTTCTCCCTGCTACTCTCTGTGTAGTACTTCTTTCTCATTTGCTAAGTAGTTTCATATATCAGTGCAAAAACAGTGATAACATGGTCTCTCCATGCTGCAGGTGAAAGGTTTGGCTTTGAAATGAGAAACTCTTTGTAATCTGCAGTTTACAGCTAACATCTCATACTGCTGAGTATTGACCCCTCTGACCCACAGTGATGTTGAGGGTCAGGGAGGAAGGGAGAGAGGCAGCTAAGGCAGAAGTGAATGACTTTGGGGGTTGTGTGTAGAATGAGGAATAATATAAAATCAGCTTGGCAAGTGAAAAAGTGGGAGGGGAGAGGAGATGGGGGGGATCTTGCAGAGCATGGAGGAAGCAGTGGACCAGTGGAGAGAGTGGAGGGTCAGTTTGGTTATAAGCCACGACAATTAAACCTCAGTGGTATGTTTAAGACTGGACTGGGGAAATATGTCAGTTAATTGAATGTAGTTACATTTTAATTAATCCCTTAAGATAACTCTCGGATGTCAAGAAATTAAAGATGAGCACTGAAAAGGTTAAAATATGTTTTAGTTGGAAACCATGTTTTATGATTCTCAGACTGCACAGAAATTTCTTGCAGCTATTGCCTTGCATCCAGTCTCAGTAGTGTCAAAATAATACATTTTCCATTTAATCAAGAAAATGCTACAATGGCACTTTCAGTTGTCACCTGCACTGTGCCTTACAATCCAGCAGGGAAAGATTTTGTCATCTCTGACCTGCAGAGAATACCCTTTCCCACACATGTCATGTTCTTGAAGTTCAAGTTCTGGATTGAAGAGATGAATGGCTAAAGCCATTCAATTTTCAAAGGTTAGGGTAAAAATTAGACTTTCCTAAATATCTATTATAATAAATACGGGATGCACTAATTAAGAGCCTGCTCAGGACTCAACAGATTTCTCATTTTATCCATGTCTTAGTATGATATTAGACAACAGAAACTGGATTTACGTCAAAGTGAAAATGTGTTGTAATTTTTTTCTGTTTCAGGCAAAGCCATTAAACATGCAAAAGAAGCCTTGTTTACTGGAGAGGCAGGCATGAGAAGGGGCATTCCAAAGGTTTTGGTTGTCATTACTGATGGGCGTTCACAGGATGATGTGAACAAAGTCTCCAGAGAAATGCAATTAGATGGTAAAATGTGTAGTTTTAAGAACTATCCACATATTTTTTTTCTCATTAATGATAACTATGTAAGAGTGGGCATGAGATAAGAGTAACTTTTACTCCAGGAAGATTTCCAAGTTTAAAGAAAACAGACAGCAAACGCTGAGAAATTCAGAATATCATTAGGATATGGTTTGATCCTGGATATTTTGTGTGTGTGTGATGAATGCTATAATTTTTCATGTTAGCAGCAGTGCTGAACACGTAGTGGTCAATGGAATTGCTCCCATGATGAAGAATTTAGGGGGCACTATCCTGAGAACCTGGACTGTCATCTATGAAGTGTAGTCTTGTGGTTACTAGCAAACTGAACTGTTTTGTTTTCTATGCAAGAGGTCCTTTGACAGTTCTTTCATATGTTGTTTTATGGGTTCTGATCTGCTCTCATGTTACACTAATTACCTTTAGGAATTTTTTTAAAACCACCGATTTTAGAGCTTTAAGCAAACTGTGTTGTGAATCTAAGCATAAGAACAGGGTTAGTTGTAGAAATGTCTGATACTTGGGTTTGTATAAAAATCCAAAGAGCACAGTGTAACACATGGAACAAAACACAAGGATGGAAGAAAAAAGTTATCATCTTTCTAATGTGAGGAGATCTAAGAAAAAATTACATTTGTGCTTTTTAATTTGCCTTTAGTCTTTGGCAGCTATGAAGTTACCAGTGCATATTACTGATTCCTGAAACCCAATGCAGTCATTGAGCTTGGCTGCCTGCTTGGATTGCTGCTAGATGCCAAGTGCAGTGCCTTCATAAACAACATCGTATCACAAGATAATAAAGCATGCAATACTTGCTTTAAGTAGCAATCAAGGAAACACTATGTTTGTGATGAAATTAGAGTCTGTGTCTAAACTGAACAAAAATGTTCAACTTTCAGATTAAGTCTTGCAGTTCTCTGATTTCCTGTTACACTGGCAATGGCCTGCGAGGGGACATCGTGTGGCAGGGGTTCAGCTGCTGACTGGGATGTGTCACCTTGGACAAATGACATATGCTGCCCCATTTGCTTCTGGGTGTGCTGTGTGCTTAGGGTGCAGATGGGCTGGAGCAGTGACTGACTGGGATCTGTGGTAGAGACTAGCATGAAGAGGTGCTGATCTTGGGAAGATGATGTTATAATCAATTAAGTCAAAGTTTTGTTGAGCTAAAAGCTCCACAGAAGGGGGTGGATGCCCTTGGGCCTCATTCAAACTTTACAATATTGCTGACTGGAATAAATTTAGGGCTGGACCATGCAAGAATAATATGTCCATTAAAAATATTCAGCCTCCTGTAGACATTTTTTTTCTTGATGTTTTATGTAAAGGAAAATGTTAAAGAGCTTTCATCTAGTTTGCTGCTCCTCAAACTTATAGAATACAATTTTAATTTAATTTAAATCTTTGAAGTCAGGATCAACTTTCAAAATATTTTCATGCAGAATATGCATAGAACAGACTGGACCAGTGCAGTTAAGTTGCTGACGAAATGATAATGCATTTGTTTCAGTGTTCACTCATGAGGCAGCAGTGAAAACTGTAATAAATGGCACAGAACAAAATCTCTAAAAGACAAAGGAAATTAATTGCTGTGCTTTGTATTTTATATACTTGATACATGGATATTTTTGTCTGTGATACAGTATGGCATTACATTAAAAAAGCTTTTAACATTTGCTAAAATTTTAAGCTTCTGAGTAATCTTATGTCTTCAGGAAAACACTTAAGCATTAACTTTAATTAACTGGTAAGAATAAATAGCCAAAATCTCTCACAAAGCATATATTACCTTTATAAGGGACTTACTATAAGGGTATGTAGCAATAGGAGAAGGGGTTAAGCAAGAAGAGGGTAGATGTGGGTTGGATATTAGGAGCAACTTCAGTGGTGAAACACTGTAACAGGTTGTCCAGGGAAGTTGTGGCTGCCCCTTTCCTGGAAGTGTTTGAGGGGGGTTGGATGGGACTTCGAGCAACCTGCTCTAGCAGGAGACGTCCCTGAACATGCAGAGGGGTTGGAACTAGATGACCTTTAAGGTCCCTTCCAACCCAAATCATTCTGTGATTTTTTTGGCTCACTTGAGGTTATATGCATGAATTTTCTTCTGTTATAGGATAGTAATAAAATTTCCACCTTTGTATTTAATCAGGAAAGGAGCCAGAACACATACAGTTCTGTTTATTTTGTATTTCCACTCTCTAAATGAATGACTCGCAAGACTGTTCTTTTTTTGTTGTTTTACAGGTTTCAGCTTTTTTGCTATTGGAGTAGCTGATGCTGACTATTCAGAGTTAGTTAATATTGGCAGCAAGCCCAGTGAAAGACATGTCTTCTTTGTGGATGACTTTGATGCCTTTACAAAGATTGAAGATGAGCTGATCACTTTTGTTTGTGAAACTGCATCAGCAAGTTAGCCATTTTCACTTTTACTTTTTTCTTTAAAAAAAGTGCTAAATACTGGGGGGAGGGGAGGGTTGTAACTATTAATTTTCCTTTAAGAGGTAATCTTGATTTTTTTAAACATGATTTACTACAGATATTATAACTCTTATGCTATTTCCTTAAAAGATTAAGTAAATGAAGGTGTTTGGACTTCAAAATAATTAATGGTTGTTTGCTATAGATCCAGAATACATCCATTGTTTATCAAAAATTTATTTCAGATCTGAAACATTGTTAATGGCTCATAATTTAGTAATAAAAAGTTAATTATACTTTATTTTCTGGGCTACTTTAGCCATCGGTAAGGGTAAAATTAGTTACATTCATTATTACTCAAATTGCATGGTTAAGTTAGTAATGGAGACCTAATAATTACAGTTTGTATGTAGGAGTTTGTATGTATTTGTAGAATGTAGAAGAGTTGTAGCTGCGTAAAGCACACCCATACTCACTGAAATCTGTGAAAATGCCACACTTGAGACTCTTTATGAAAATGAAGACCTTCTGGAACACCTAGGGCAATAGGGCAATAAGAGGGCAATAATTCACATGCTTTTAGGTGTATGGCTTCAATATATTTCCTCAAATAGCCAAGAAGTAGGAGATGGATAGCTGGTGTTTATAATTTGTGACTGTATGGAGTCCATAGGTATAGGACTGTGAGTTGTCAGAGCTGGTGAACACAGATACAAAGCTTGTGTCCCCTCAGTTCTTTGGTTTGGACTCTGTACTCTGCTTTCAATGGCAGAGAAAACAATGAATGTTGACAATACTCAGCAGTAGCATTTATTGGTCAGTCGTGCTTCTATTCAAGAAGTGAAGTCCTAACAGGAGTTTCCTGGGGTGCCATATTTGACACCCTGCACCTAGGGTTATTGATTTCCCAGGGCACCTTTCTTGGGACAAATTAGTGTACTTTCTTCCCTGCCAAAAGAAAATATAAAACAAATCCATAGCTTTTTACAGTGGGTGCACACACCTTAAAGACCACAAGCAATTCTGGTCTCCCTTGCTCATGAAAGCTATAGTGGAGTTTGAAAAGGTGGAGAAGCCCAGCTAAAGCAATTGAGCTTGAGCTGGAGGTAGGCTGCAGAATCTCACTAAACTGGATATTAGGAAGAATTTCTTTACCAAAAGAGTGGTTGGACAGTGGAACAGGCTGCCCAGGGAGGTGGTGGAGTCACCATCCCTGGAAGTGTTTAAAAGAAATATATAGTGCTTAGCAACATGATTTAAGCACTGAACAGGTAGAGCAGGTTATGGTAGGGGGATTTAGGTTATGGTAGGGAGATTTAAGTTATGGTTGGGCTTGATGATCTTCAAGGTCCCTTCCAACCAGAGTGATTATATGATTCTATAATAGTGAACTAGGGAGCACTTGGTTCAAACCCAGTATAAAACATACTTTTTTACTCAGCAAGCAGTGAATTTGTTGTCATGCCAGGTTGTGAAGGCAGGTTCATAGAAGGGTTAGACATGGACAACAGATCTATGAAAGGAGATGATATGGAACACACAGGGATGCACCCTTTAGCATCCTTGCTACAGCCCTTGTGAATCCTGAGGAGCATCAATTGAATGGAGTAGAAAGTGGCCAGGTTTGCATGCTCTTTCTGAACAGAGTCTCCTTTTGCTACTGTTGGTGATAGGTGATAGTGTACTGGGGCTGAGTGGATCATTGTTCTGACCCAGTGGGACATCTCTTGTATCCTTAAATGTATCTCTTCTTTTTCAGCCTGCCCATTGGTAATTAAAGATGGCAACAATTTTGCAGGTACAGTATTTTCGTGTTCATTTTTGTTCCTGATTGATGGAATCATTTCATTACCTGATATTTACAAAATTAATACTAATTTTCCCTTCATGCTAACAGCTGCTAAACAGATGGTGATATGAAACCATCTGGTGAAACCAGATTTGTCCATTTTTTCTATGCTGTAAAGTGGAATTAATTTCCATTACTGAAATGTATATTTTCATGCCTTCCAGGATTTAAAATGATGGAAATGTTTGGTTTGGTCGAAAAGGAGTTTTCAGCTGTGGAAGGGGTTTCAATGGAACCTGGTACATTTAATGTTTACCCCTGTTACAGACTGCACAAGGATGCCCTGGTGTCCCAGCCTACCAAGTATGTATTAACATATAAATATTCAGAAAACACATGGAGATGATTGTCCAGTGCATGCAATTATTCATTTCAAGGTTCAGTATTTTCATGTCAGAAGAGCAGACATGCTAGTGGATGTCTACATATGATCATACTAGGGAATATATATTATAATACTATATTATATGATCGCTAATGTAACAACAATAATAATTTTAATATAAATATGCAAATAAATATAATATATGAATGTATAATGTATACAATTATTTAGGATATGTAGTGTATGCATTTTAAATATTATATAAGAATATGAATAGTATAATAATTATACTATTATTATACTATATTATTATACTAGTGAATAGGAAGAGTGGTGGCCTGAGTCCTCAATCAGTTTCATTTAAAAATAAATAGCAGTTTGGGGTAAAAGTAGGTGAGCCCACTGCCTCTTTTGGGTTTCCCCTCTGAGACAGTTTCAGGCTTGTGCCAGTTTAGCACCAAGCACTTTTGTGCAGGGGTGCATTTGGGCAGGTACCAGCATGGATTACTTTGTGAAAGGTGCCTGTGGAAAGTGGGTTGTCTCATAGAAAAATGTCTTTGAAGTCTGAGTCAGAGTGGGAACCTACTTTAGGTGTCCTCAGTCAGTTTCTGCCTCTGTCTGTGTCAATTCATTGTTTACAAAGGAAGATTATCACCTGAAATGAGTCTGTGTGAACACCATCTAGTACATTCCTGGGAGGCAGAACATAGTTCAGTCGCAAGGGCTGAAAGGGAGAGCTGTGAAGCCTCTTTTTGAGCTCTTACAGTCATTCCTCACAGAGGATGGAAACTCCCTATTTCTTTTATGAACAGTCTGTATGTTGTGTTTAGTTCTTCTCAGTCTTGTCCCTCATTTTGTATTAAATGGCACCAGTAAAAAGCAGTAGGCCTGCTTCATTAAAAATGGGAAGGTGGAACAAAAAGTATTCTTCAGCTGAGATAATAAGAAGGAAAACCAGTTGGAAATTACTTTTAAGATTTACATTAGATGTCATTGTGGTCTTTTTGTGTGATTATCCTGTTGTGTCCCAGTTGGCCAATACTCCTTGGACCTGTTTCACATTCTCCATGATGGTTGCCTCCTGGGCCTAGATGGACTGGATTTCCAGGGATTAGCATTTCTCACTTCTTTTTCCCTTTCTGCTTCTTTCTAATCCTATCTGCTGCATTTGTATACTCTCCTCTAGCTGCCACCTCAGCCCAATCCTCCTTCGTTAGGCTTTCAGTCCCTTTCATTGAGAGAATACCTTTCTCTTACTGATCTACAGGTACGTCTGAATAATACCACTTGTGTTTTGTCATCTCATCTGTGCACTGAGTATCATTAATGTTATTCTCCTTTTTGAGCTCTGTATATCCCCAAACTTGGTCTTTTCCCCACTCTGTTTATTGAATTTTCTTTCATTTGCACTTTGTTCAGTGGAATTTGCTCTTAGACCTGTTGAGTTCCCTCTCTTTTCTGTATGGGAAATGTTCAGTGTAACATACAATTTCATCATCTACAGATACCTTGCAGAATATATTAATTATATAGCACAATGAACTCTTTTTCCAGCATGATTCATATCTTTACATCTTACATGTGCCAGAAACATTTCAGAAGAAATTGATTGTATTTGGGGAAAATAAATGTATTAAGTAACTTATTTGGGCTTCTTTTAGATCCTTTTACTATGATTTTAAGAAATCAAGCTAATTAACATGTTCTAATGCAGTCAGCTGTTCCAGACACTTATCCAGATGTCCCACCTTGGAATTTGACAACAAGAGGTTAAAATAAATTGGAAGTAGTAAATAACAAATTTTAGGAAATGGCATAAAATAACATACTTCTTTTATATCATAAATTTCCTCTCCCTTCTGCAAAAGTTCTAGGAGATGAGATTGTATTTTGTCTGTGTGATCTGTTTTGACTTCACTTTCTTATATTTTGCCTTTGAAATGTGCAAACTACATTCCCTATGACTTATAAAGCTTCCTGTTTCATTCTCTGTCATTCCTAATTTCTATCCATTAATGATGGTTTCATGACAAAGGACATGTTTTTTGAGATTAGTCTTTCAAGCAACTTCTATGTTAAACCAGACAATGGCAAAGGTCTTCCAAGTGGCTACTGTTTTTCAAAAGGTTTTACTATAATTAATTTCAGCTTTGCTTCAAACTGACCTCTGATTTGATCTTCAAATAAAAAAAAAAAACAGCAATTAATAATTAAGGAAATTCTGTAGATTTTAAGAGGAAAGATAACTTCTCATTGCTTCATAAGTATTGGTTTGATAGTTATCAATTGAGTAGATTTTGCAAAGACTTATTCCTATTGCTTCTCAATCTTGATTTCCAAAGACATACACAAGGTAATAGAAAGCATGTTAGGTGAACATCTAGTGAGTAAGTAACTGGATATAATGTTTCAGCCTAAAAAGCATTATTTCCCTTCCAGGTATTTGCATCCTGAAGGACTCCCTTCTGATTACACCATTACATTTCTGTTTCGTATACTCCCTGATACACCTGAAGAACCGTTTGCTCTTTGGGAGATTTTAAATGAAGCATATGAACCACTGGTTGGAGTTATTTTAGATAGTATGTATTTTGTATTTTATTAGTATGTTGGTTTTTTTCTTTAACTCTATGAATGGTTTATTGTGTGTCTAGATTCATTATTGCCAATGTTTTAACCTACTGCCAGAACAACTACGTGATCTGGAAGTCTTGAATGGATGTTTTTTAGATTCAATTAACCTAATTTTTATTTGGAGTTAGAATAAAATTTTAAGTACACTTCTCTAAACTGGAAGCAATAATTGTGAAATCCAAAGAGCTGTACTAGATATAAATCAATGCAAGGGAGCTAGTGATTTACTTGTAAAATTCCCAGTGCTCTGAATCTGGTTCTAATAGTATCTATCTTACTATATGCCAGTGATGCTGACAGTACGGTATGTGTAGAGGCAGTGCAGTCTGGTGGATAGCAAACTTAGAGCTAGAGACATGAGCTCTTGATGACTTTTTTAATTTCTACTTGATTTGACTTTCATAGCTGTAAAACACGGCTTATAATTTAGAAGGTTTCTGTATGTTCTGTTTAAAAGATTTAGAGCGATGCCATCTTGAAGACAGATATAGTTGTACTTATCTTTCTATGTTTCCTAGAATTTTTTTTGCATGTCTCCTTGAAATAGGTGGAAATTAGGCATTTAGCTAGCTTGAAGGTCTGTGTATGCCTTACTTGTCCAAGTCCCACAGAGATCTGGTGGGAGTGTAGGAACAAGTAGACACGGGTGAGGTAGACTCCTATCCTTCCTATCAAACCAGGAAAGAGCATTCCTCTGAGATAACATGCTACTACTGGGTCAATGTATCTCTGATGAATGTGTTCTACTAATACATGATTTGACATTCTTGGTCATCTTTGTTAAACAGAAAATTGACCATTTCAAATAATGTATCTGAGCTTTTCTTTCTCTAACATGGAGCTGCTATTTTTATTCTCACACAGATGGTGGTAAAACTCTGACTTTCTTTAACTACGACTACAAAGGAGATTTTCAGACCGTGACTTTTGAAGGTCCTGAAATAAGGAAGATATTTTATGGGAGTTTTCATAAGGTTCGTAAAGATAATAGGAAAAAACCCACTCTAAATAATGGTTTTGGAGTTTTTCATGCTTTGAAATGGTCTTTCATGTGGTCATCTGCTGCCAAGAGAAATGCATATTTCATATTCAGTATGATCTACCAAACTGTCTTAAGTCTCTTTGCAATATTGAATTAACATTAAAGAAATGGTAGTTTTTATTATGAAGGTGATGAGATCAGATTTCATTTCATGCTTTGTGCCTTTATTTTAGAGTTGATTAAAAATACTTGCCTGGAAAAGTAATTTAGAAATAAATTGGCTTTTTCTTTTAAGGTTTGGATTAGAAATGTCACTCAAAATTAAAATAAGTCCAGCAAAAAATAAAATAAAATAAAATCCCTATCCTTTTCACCATAGTTGCTATTTTAAGACATATTTTAAGGGCTATGCTATGTTGAACTTTTCTAGGCTCTTAGAGAACTCATTACATTCTTTTCAAAAACAGCTGAAGCAGTGGTGGGACTGTAGCACAGAATTGTTGTGGAAGGCACTTTTGTTGTCTGCTTTCATTCCTGATGTTTGTATCTTTCTTAAACAAAACCAAAAAATTACCAAAAAAAACCCCACACAAAAACAAACAAACAACAAAACTAAACAAACAAACAAAAAACTAAAAAAACCCAAAAAAAACCCCCAAAACCTAAACTAAACAAACAACAAAAACAAAAGACAGAAAATAAAAAAGACCATGGATTGAGGAATAGTAGTAACAGGGTTTATCTTCTCTGTGCTTCCTTTCTAATCAGTGGAGCAAGAAAGGGAAGGCAGGTAAGAGCTGGGGTCCAATGGTGTTTTGGAGGGATATATGAGCCTTTTGCAAATTCTCCTCTTAAGCAGTTTTCTGCATTTTGGGTGATGATCCTTGTTATTTATATGTTTGAAAGGCACAGGAGACCAAATTCACAGCAGCTTTTCATTTATTTAGTTCCAGCTGAGCCTAGAGCAAAGCAGCTACAGGACTCCCTCCTGGCTTTCTGTCACCTTAGGCTCTGATCTCCATGTAGGGTATTGGTATAGAGAAGATACCTCATTTCTCCCAACTCTTTGTCTGGTTTCTCCCCCCAAAAAATTGTTCCCTCCTTTGCTTAACTGAGAGTTTTCTTGTGATGGGACAGTTGTGGCTAGGATTGTCCTCTCTGCTGGGAATGTCTTTGCTGCATCAGCCATGGACAGCAGAGTGAGTCAAGGCAGAAGCAAGTAACTTTTGTTACTGTGCTCTGCTCTCATACTGTGTTTGATGTGATTGACTTTTTTCAATGTAAAAACTTCACCGTGAAAGTTTTGCTGTGGGGTTAATGTATGATTTACAGGCTAAATGTTACTACTTAGTTATGGGTTTTGCAAGTGGCTTTAAAAGGTGTATTGGTGAAATCCAGTGCTGCAAAGGAGGGTTGTGCAAAGCCCAGAAGTTATTTCTGATCAGATAAATCAAGAGTTCTTTGGGATCTGGGAGATATATGAACACTGTGTAGATATTTTTTCAGAGATAAATAATTTTCTGACTGAATAAATTATGTAAGGTGTCCATTTGTATGCAGATGTTCCATAATCAGAAAAATAAGGTAAATTCATTGAACAGATTGGAATCCTAGAATAATTCAGGTTGAAAGGGACCTCTAGAGATCATCTAGATTATTTGCTATGGATTATCTTATTTTCTTAGTAAACATGGATTTAGGAGCTTATTTCAAAAAATGGTTCCATTTTCCCAAGGAATTAATATATCCTGTGTGCTCCTTTATATGTTAAAGCATCTTTTCTTTTACTTAGTTGCATGTTGTTATCAGCAAGACTACAGCCAAAATAATTATTGACTGCAAGCAAGTGGGTGAGAAGACCATTAATGCAGCAGGAAATATTAGTTCTGATGGCATAGAAGTGCTGGGGAGAATGGTCAGATCCAGAGGACCAAGAGACAACTCTGCACCTGTGAGTAGAACAAGATATCATAGAATCATATATCATAGAATCAAATATCATAGAATCATAGAATGGGTAGGGCTGGAAAGGACTTTAAAGATCGTCTAGTTCCAACTCCCCTGCATGGGCAGGGACACCTCCCACTAGATCAGGTTGTTCAAGGCCCCATCCAACCTGGCCTTGAAGACCTCCAGGGAGGGGACATTCACAACCTCCCTGGGCAACCACCTATTCCAGCATCTCACCACCCTCACAGGAAAGAACTTTTTCCTAATGTCCAACCTGAATCTCCCCTCTTTAAGTTTCAAACCATTTCCCCTTGACCTCTCACTACCTACCCATGTACAAAGCCCTACCCCAGCTTTCTTGTAGGCCCCCTTCAGATGTTGGTAAGTTGTTATATATCCTAAAAATGAGTGTTTGGGATCTTTGCAGTTAGTTTTAAGTTGAAGCAGAGTGAACTCGCATTTGAAAGTGTAAAGTTTCAGCATTTCAGAAATTCTGCCAAAGCTCACAATAGTGCTTAACTTGAGCAAAATCTATTTTTTATTATTTTAATAAACAAAATCACTAGATCATTGTTCAAGTGTTATTCTCTAACACATATGTCAACACAGGCCATACATTCAGGTATGACTTGTGCTCCAATCTTCATTACAAAGAGTAATACAATGTGTAACTCCTTTGCCTGGAATAATTTAAACTTTGTTTTGAGTGATAATTGCTCCCCATGTCTCTCACTCTTTTTTTGGCCCCAAGCTTGTTGCTTCTTCATTAAATAATTGAACTGGTTTGACTCAGGCAGCCCCTAAAAGCCACCATCCTAGTATGTCCAGTTCTTTTATATTATAAAATACTTTGAATGTGAAAGGTCCTCCCCAAGATTTAAGTACTCTTTCATTAAGAAGTAGTCGATCATTCTGTTTGTATGGCAACCTATGGGAGTCTTTCCATTCTGTTTCAGATGCCTTTAAGAAGGTTTGTTTGGGTTTTTCAGGTAGATTTATTTGTTGAAATAATTGACAGTCTGGCCATGATCTTAGGAAGTCTTGTTTGCTGTGCTAGTTTGTGTGCTAATTTTCTAGAATGAGGGTAGCAGAGAATGTGAACCTTGAACTCATGGCTTGATTTGAATAGGAATAAGGTTCCGAAAAAGCATTTACTTGCTGTTTTGTTCAGTAAAAAATAAGTCCTCAGAATATAACTCTGTGTACAAGAAAGAAGCTTTAGGCCTCAGATTTATGGGTAATAATTATATGAAGCCTGTAAAGACAATTACACAGAGAAACCTTTGTAGTAAAATTCCCATAGAAACAGAAAAAAGCAAACTCAGGAAATCTTGGAATTTGAGAAGGCTTTGTAAAGATGTGGAAAGAAATGGTGTCTTTTGTTAGAACCCAGGAATCTATAAAAGATAAAATGGACTGCCCACTCACTGAAAAATTTGGTTTTGTTCAAATGAACTGTCAATCTGACGTAAGACTACAAATGTGTAGCTGAAGATGGAAATTCTCTACTCCACAGTACTGGTTATCTGCCTTCAAGTATTACCACATATACCAAATCACAAGCAGCCAAGAGACCACCCAAATACCATCCATTAAAGTTTGCATTCTGCCCATTTTTTCATATTGAATAGATCTTGTGTGAATAGACACATTTAAGGCATGAATGAGTTGGTTTTCTCTACTCCAAAAATTAGAAGACATCAAAGGAAATTAATAGGAGGCAGAATAGGGGTTTTCAAAGCAGTAGATCAGTGCAGCTTCTTGCCATAGAATTTTGTGGGTCCTAAATATATATATTGATTGTAGGGAAGCCTGGATGAGTGAATGAAAGGGAAATACTAGTTGTTAATAAGCCTAGGACTGGAAATCTGTGATGTGAAAGCCATTGAAAGCTAGGAGGCTTTAAGGTAGCAGTATGACTTACACCCTTGTGCTTCGTTAGATATCACTTGCTCCACTGTTGGAAATAGAATACTGCAATTTAGTCTGTTCTAGTATCTTAATTGTTTTAAGAGGCACATGAAGGCATAGGTACAACAAAAATGCCTTTTTGTACAATCGTTTTCAAAAATGTTTTGATTTGACGTGAACATTTGGGTTTGTTGATAGGTTTGAAAATTTCTTTTTTTCACCAGCTCTATTTTCATGAAATACTAACCTTAGAGATGCTTGTTACATAAAATAAAAACAGACAGGCAGTTATTTGAGAATAAAATTGTGATCTTTTTTTCTGACTTCATTCACATGAAACAGTTTAAACAAGTGTTTTGTTGTTTTTTTTTAAATACATTAATCCAGTGCAATCACCTGAATTATGCAATGAAAAAACCCAAACTAAAACCAACAGTGTTGAGGGAATATAATTGTGTCCCAGTTTTTTTTCCCATTGAGTTGTATGATGTGCAGCAGTTCAGTGAACAGGCAGAAATAGAGATGGGACAAAAAGGAGGTTAGGCTAAAGGTGCCCAACCCTCTTGACATCCCTCAGTAATGAGTTGTTTCTGGATTAGACACTCCAGCCAGCTAGAGCAATGAAATCTGACCATGATGTGCAGCAAGTTATGTTCTTTATTCCTTCAGTGGGGTAATGAAAAGTCCAGCATCAAAATGTTATTTATTTAGAATTCACAAACCTGGTCTTTATTCATGTTTCCTTTTCTTTCAAATTTAACATGCTTACCTCCGTGTATTTGTCCTATTAAAAAAAGTAATGTGTGATGTGGTCTGCTTTGGAGAAATCTGTCCAGAACTGAAGGCTGATCAGGTGAAGATGGGCAGACATTTCTGTCTTACTGTTTCAGCTTGTAGGGCTGGGTATTTTGAAAGCAAAATCACTATGAATACAGAGAATTATGAATAAATGTTTAACAGTAGCAAAGAAAGCTTTGTTTAGTTATTTCCCTCGAGTCACAGCAACCCACATAATATATTAAAATAAGAGTACTGACTCATTCAACATTTGGATGGTGAATACAGCAATTCAGGGAATGCCTGTTTGCTCTTTATTTTACACCAACATGCTTTATCACTCCAGATCTCTAGATTGTCTAACACAGAGAGAATGAATGCATATACACGCCTGTGTAGAGCTGCATAAATTTAGCCAATACTGTCAACCTTCCATTGTTCAGGATAACAGCATAGCTTGGGATGGACAGGGTTATGGAAAAAATGGCACCACTACTTACTTAATTACAAATTTAAATTAAGCGGCTTTCTGTGCCACCATCTCAAGGTGTTTCTGCAGTCCTTTTCTGGGATGTCTTATTTGCTTCGATGTAGTATCATGCAAATGCCCAAGGTCATTCTGAATCCTAGAGCAGTATGTTCAGGCACATTCATGTGCTGTGGTACTCAAGCTAGTATGTCCTTCCAGAATTAGCAAGTTCTGGATGCATAGCGAAGAGGCATTTAAGTGGCTACTCATGGAGCCAGCTTGCATTTGACATATCCAGGGACACAGACTTGTTGGACTCAGGCCAGACCTTTGTGCAGCCAAACCACAGGTCCAAAAGCTGCCTTCATGCTACAGTTTAGTTGTCTAAAGTGTATAGATAGCATGGAGCGAACTCATGGGTGTCTGTATCTGAGACGCAGCATATCTAAAACTAGCTAATCTGATGGCAGGTAAGAAGAATATCTATGTATATGAAAGTATTTCTTTGTTTAAAATATAATAGTTGACTTATTTTTTTTTTAAAAGAGGCAAAAATGAAGGTGTACATGTGTAGTTCCTTTTAATAACTTTAGAAATTATGCAGTTGTCAGGAAGTTTTTCAATTCACTCTTCTGTTCTAGTGTTAAAATAATGCTGCTGAAAATAATAATGGGAGCATAACCAAAGAGAGTTCTATCTCTAGCAGTTCCTCACATTTTTTAACATGTGGGGTTAATTTATTGGGATGTTCTGTTCCATTCCATTCCCCTCTCTATTCAGTATGCACATAAATGAAGGATGGAAAAAGAATAGAAATAGTAACAGAAGAAAGCCTCATCTCTCTAGACCCCTTTGTTCTGTTCAAGGCTGTAGGGGTGACAATTGGTTTTACCACTGAGTCCTATTTAGCATCTTGTTTCTGAGTACCTAGCAGCCATTATTTTTACCAAATGTGTGTTCTTGTAGATTCAATTCTTGTTCAAACCATGTTCCCAGACTGCAGTGGGAATTTTCTGCCTACTGTTGTCATGTGTTGAGCAAGCTTTCCACCATCCTTGAGCTTTCATTGCCTGGGGATATTATGTGGATAAGAGAGGGCATATTCTGAAGTAAAATAAAACTGGAGAACATGATAAATATTATTTGTGGCTCAGCTCCAGTGTAAGTAATAGACTAGAGGAGCCCTTGTCCCAGATAAAATCTGAGCACCATACTAGTGGGTTAAGAGAGAATACTCAGTTTTAAGAAACTGAGCTCTGTTTTGCCTGTCTCTTAATGACTTCTTTGCTAGAAAATGTATTGGGAGACACCATTGAGTAAAATCAGGAATTTAATTGAGGAGGTGTGGATAATCTAACATATCACTGCAGTATTTAACCTTAAACAGTTTGTGTAATCCATGTAATGTCTGATAATTTGGATAATTTGGTTAGAACACAAGCCTTCTGCTGTTCAAAGTAGCACATTTGTGGCTAGCTGCTCTCAGTCGGTAGCCTTTTCTCTGTCTAATCTGAGTACTTGAAGCCAGGTGGCTTTTCTTGCTGATGACACCATTTTTCCTTAATCTTATAACTAACAGTCATGTACATCTCCCTTTTTTTAAAAATAGTTGCAGTTACAGATGTTTGACATTGTTTGTGCTACCTCATGGGCCAATCGGGACAAATGCTGTGAGCTTCCTGGCTTGGTAAGAAACCTCTTGCAATAACTGTAGAATTTACCTTTTACTTTCCCCTTTATTGAGACAAATGTTTTAATGGAAATGGATGGTTAACTTGTCCTATTGACTTTCAATGTGATGTATGTTGCTAAATCAAGTAGGTGCTTTTAAGACACTCACACAGTGCTATGTCTCAGATTCATAACATTCTTAATTTCTGAATTGAAGTTTTGGACATAATTCTCTTTCTGTATTGATCTTTCCTTAGAGAGATGAGGAAAACTGCCCCGCCCTTCCTCATGCTTGTTCCTGTTCTGAAGCTAATAAGGGTCCCCTTGGACCTCCTGGACCACCGGTAAGGTTTTATTCAGGCTTACAGTCAACTGTCCCAAATAGTCCACTGGCCGCCTTTATTCCAAAATGTGTATATACTGCCATTGTGTAACTAAATAATGCTAAGTCAGGGGGTTAGGTATTGACAAAGAGATAAAATTGCATACAATTTGTAGCAAAGATACCAAACAACATGCTTTTTAAAAATCTTCTTGCTCAGTAGGTCAGTCAGATTTGTAATGCTTTAATCAAGACCTGAAGCAGTCAGGGTAATCTGTAGACCTTGAGTCCTGCTACCTGTCTGTAGCGTTAGTAGATATATCATAATGCCATTTATTTTAAAAAAATTTATGACAGGCTATCAGCTTCCTTTAGCACATGTGTATTAAATATAGCTGGGAGTTTAGCTTTCTGAAACGCTCAGTTTACAGTATTATGAATTAAACATATGGGGTATGACAGTGCCACTTGTGGGTCACTATATTAACTCAACCTTACATTATAAGGCTGATTTTCAACAATTTAGAACAGCTATAGGCTCCATTTCATATGGTCTGTTATTAGTTTGGTTTAATGAGGAATCTAACTGGGATCTCTGTAGAATGGTCACGTGTTTTTTTCTTTTACAACTAGGTTGATAACTCTGACTGGCATCTTAGGGCTGCTTACTAAGCTAGCTGGAGATGAGGCCCTCATGTGACCAAGTCTGAACTGTTTGTTTCTCTGCTTATACTGTGTCCTGGATGCTCCAAGAGCATGTTTTGAAGATAAAGAGCCAGTAAGGAATGTAAAGGAAAATAGGTTTCTTAAAAGGTTAAACTATGCAGATTACATGAGATACATGTTCAACAACAAAATTAACTTGCATAAAAGGCATTCACATAGTAGATCCTTGCAGATATTTATCCTAGTAACGACTCCGAGATCAGTTTTTTCTGCAAGAACTGTTCATCAAGGTCTGATACAAAAACTTTAAAAGGAATTCAGGAGAAATTTCACTGAAGAGGTGTATCTTGAACAAACAAAAAATTATTCTGTTCTCCTTTTTGAATGTAGGTTATAAATCATGTCTGGATTAAAGTTTTAATTTCTTTATATAGATGTCCAGTTTGTGTTCTGTGAAAAAGACAATGGAATAATTCACACAAAAATGCAACTGAAATTGATTAGTTTGACTACATTTCACAGTAAAATTAAAAATGTTCCAAAATGTTTTTTACTGGAAGGGTGTTACTATAGTTCAAAACTTACTCTATATCAGGGATTGCTAAAATTTGTCCCACAAGTAAAACAATGTACTTCTATTGTTTTACATTTAGCATTAACAGTATTTTGAGTAGCATAGTGCCATGGAAGAGGAGGCTTAAAATCAAGCAGAAAAATTGCTGCCTAGGCAGGGAAGTATGTGACTCTGGAATTTAACCTTTTATGAGTGATACTTTTTTTGCCAGACGGTTAGATGGCATAGCTCTGGAAAAAAGTAAGAGGCCTAGGAAAAAGCAGAGCAAAAGAATAAAGTCAGCATTCATCTCTGTGCCAACCAAAAGTCAGAAAGTCATATGTGCTGTGTCTGGTCAATACTCGTCCAAGTCATTAAAATGTCATGTGACTTTTCTCTAAGCCAAGAATTTTTCTGCTTAAGGGATCAGGATTCTACCATGGAGCCAGCTTTGGACATTAGACTAAAAAGACTCCAAATAAAAGGCTTCCATTTGTGTGGGATAGTGTCTCTGGAAATATTTTTTAAGCTCTTTAAGGAAATGGGTCAGTTTGGGGAAGACAAAGTATCATTTAGAATTAAGGTTATCTAGCAGATTTCATTATGGGGTACTGTTTTTATGGCTTAATCTTTGCCAGAATTTGGTTATGCTGTCTGAAGTTCCCCATGCAAAGTAAAAATATGATAGCACACAAACCTGATGTCTGCAATTTGAAGGGAGTGCTACAGAACTAGAGAAGGTGTGGAATGACACAAAAAATATTGGAGGACTGGAGAAGTTTAATTACAATGAAAAGCTTTTAGTGCTTTATAGGCTTTAACTATTAAAAAAGAAATAAGGAAGTAATTTGATAATAGTTGATTAAGAAGTGTTTCTGGGAGAAAGCTTTTAAGAAGTTATTTAAAATAAGAGAAAAAAAAAAGCATAACAGGAATTCTTGGCTAGGAGCAGAAGCCAGAGAAATGAAAAAATTGAAATTAGTTACACAAGCTTAGTAGTGCTGGGGAACAAACACCAAATTTATGAGTTTATGAGAAAAATTAGGGAGGGTCTTGTGGTGTTTTCATCTTAAATCAATGCTTTTCTGGAACTTGTGCTTTTACCAAGCAAAGCTTACTGAGTTCATAACATGGATAAATGTACCAAACTCAGTGTGACTCTTAAAGCATATGATCTGGTGGCTCACCATCAGGAAATTTTCATGTATATATTCTTACTCAGTAAAAATGTAATGTGTTTCTGAGAACAACATGGGAGAGAACTGTGTGGTTTTGTTGATGTTAAACATTTGCAGTTATTTTGCATAGGAATTTTTTATCTGAAAGAGAGGCAGGAGAAAGGGCAGAAGGAGCTACTGGAATGCAGTAATATGAGGAGTTGAAACTTAGGAATTAGCAACTGAAACACAGTTCTGTGGAGAGCATAGGATAAGATATTAGGGCTGGGGTTGACTGGGATGGAATGGGCTGTGGCCATAGAGCTGTGGGATGGAAGTGAGAAGACTGAAAAAGCAGGGATAAAGAACTAGAAAACCACTCTGAGATCACACATAAGAAGACTTCGTTGAAGAGCAGGAGTCTTCTGGTACTTCCAAATGTTTTTCTTATTGGCATTCCTATGTAAAGTCTCATAGATATTACATATGCATTTAATCTGATAAGCATGTTGTCTATAATGTAATTGCTATTATATTTATAAGTACTTATTGTAGCCTCTAAACAACATCACAATCCATAGTTGTACCAAGGTCCTTTTTAAGTACAAAGGACAGAATCCCTGTAAAGCTCAGAACCCAAGAGATTAAGGAGTATACTCAGATGGGGGAAGAAGAGAAACTGACCTAAAAAAAAGTGAAAAAACACACTTTATTTATGCTGTCCTAGAGGACAAAGCCCACTCAGCCTGTATATGCAAAACACGTTCATGGCAGCCATCCACAGATATGTGCAACTCTGGTGTCCAGACAATACTAATAAAAAAGGCAGCAGTTGGTTAATAAATGATTAACAGATGTAGGCACTGCTGAAGAAAGCAACAAAAGAGAAAAATGGCAAAAAAAGCATTTAACCTAAGAGTAGATCTAAATTAAACTGTGGTAAGTCTAGTAGACCCTGGAATAGTCCTTAGTGAAAAATATCCCCAAGTTATGTGAAACTTAGCCTTTAACGATGTGGAGATTTTGGTGAGAACAGACAGATGTGCAGGAGGTTTGAGCAACTGGAAGGGAACATGTGTACATTTCCATCTCTATTGTAGCTTTCAGTGTTATTTTGATGCTTATATAGTGTGCATTCTTGGCTCTAGAAAGCAGTCACATCTGTTTAAATCTGTTATTGTGTATGGCTACATGTATGTGTGTTCTCAGTTTAATTACTCCAGTGGAAGGATATGGACATAATATTCACTGATTTCTGAGCTGTTTGGGCTTCTCTGGATTTTGTTTTGTTTTTTTTTATTTTATTTGAGAGTCCTCTGCTTATGCTTCACAGGGTGGTCCAGGTGTCAGAGGTGCCAAAGGTCATCGTGGTGATCCAGGTCCAAAGGTAATTTGTACAGTGCTTCACAGCTGTCAGATGCACAGGTCCTTGGTTTATCTCTGCTACATGTAAACCCTGAAATGAGTTCCAGATTCTCCCTGATGTCACTGAGGAAAAAGCATAGTGAAATGCCTTTGGCGTTTGGTGTGTCTCTTTTCATAACAATTGCTGTCCTCTTTGCTCCTTGATAAAAGAGATAACATTCAGAATGTTGCTGTCACAACATATTTTTATTATTTTTGTTTTTGCATTTATAAAGGAACCAGGCCATTTTAAATTGAACCCTAACTGCTCAATCAAATGTTAACTCATATTTCAGATGGTTTTGAGTCTACTGGTATATAATTCTTCAAACAGAAGCTTCCTTTATCCATATGATAAAAGTTTAACTTATGTCCTGTGCTGCTTCAGGGACCAGATGGACCTCGAGGTGAAATCGGTGTTCCTGGACCACAAGGACCTCCAGGACCACAAGGACCCAGTGGACTTTCTATTCAAGGGCTTCCAGTGAGACTTAGAAAATCAATAGGATTCTTTCTTGCAATGTTTTGAAGAGCCCATATCTTAAACTAGACTGAAATATCTTTTGGTGTCCTGAACAGATTTTGAATTTCAGTATTTGAGGTGAAATCATGGATTTGTGTTTAACCTATAGTGGATTCAGTGCCAACATTGTGGGTTTTATTTGGATCTGAAATTTTTTTAGCTGAAGGGATTTGATAACAGATAGAATATGACCCAGGTATTCACATCCAAGCCTTGGAGACAAGTGAAAAAAATGCAGTGAGAGTTATAACATGGCTCCAAACTAAAATGTTAATATTTTATCTTTTTCTGGTTGTGAAGTTCCTCATTGCAGATCAGTTCTGACTTGAAAGGTGTACCCAGGCAAAACCACCAGATTTGCTGCCAAAAATGAAGCAACAGTATTCACTACAGTTAGAGTCTGTCAGCAGCGGAGATGATTAGGCCTGGAGATTGCAATGCTGTTGTGAAATAAATCTCAGAATTTCATCATAAAGAGATACTGGTAGAGTACTGAACCAGCAACACTCATTTTATAGATATCTCTGATAGATGGGTACACATAAGCCTTGAAAGGGAGCAGATGCATATCTTTTTCTGCTAGACTTTTTTTTTTTTTTTTTCAAAATTTATTACAGTATAATACACTTTCTTCTTTTTACCCCATCTATATGATCCCACTGTACAACATAATGAAGTGATGAAGTGATTTTCCAAGACTGTACATTCTTGATGATGCTGTCATCAGAGAATAATATAGAATAAATTAATTATAGAATAGTTATTTGACAAAGAAATTGTTTCTGCATAAAACTTAATTAAAATTGGTTTATTATCTAGAAAAGCATATCTTTGGCATGCATATGTACTGTAGAAACATGTCTAGTTTCCCTTAAGTCCATTGGTTTCATCATTATAGGAAATACTTCGGTGGGCTGAAGAGAAATAGATTCCTTTGAGAAAAAGAGAAATTAAATACCTTTTTTATAACATAGTGGCTTTATTTTGTCAGGTTAATTCAAAAGTCTTTTAAAATTAGTTTTATTTTCTTTATTTATTTATGAATTCTTCAACTACAGTTTTGAAAACAGAGTCTGTACATTTGCTTTCAGCAGAAAAAAATGGTCTGCTTTCTTATTGGTTGGTTGTTTTTTTCTGCAGAAGCTGAATGGAACTATTAAAAATAGGAATCACAGAATCTTAGGGGTTGGAAGGGACCTCAAAAGATCATCTAGTCCAACCCCCCTGCCAGAGCAGGATCACCCAGAGCACATCACACAGGAACTTGTCCAGGCGGGTTTTGAATGTCTCCAGTGAAGGAGACTCCACAACCTCTCTGGGCAGCCTGTTCCAGGGCTCTGTCACTCTCACAGGAAAGTAACTATGTATTTTGTTTACTATGTGTTACTCTTAATTTGCAGGGGCCACCAGGTGAAAAGGGAGAAAAGGGAGATCTTGGTTTTCCTGGCCTGCAGGTAATACCTAAGTTATTGTTTAACCTGTCACTTACTACATTTGAATGTTGAATTGCTATACTTGTGAATGTAGGGCATATACTCAAAACTGCAGAGGAGCATGTTGTTGGGGTGAGTTTGAAGAGAGGTTTAGAATCAGGAATCTGGGGTGTGCCAGTTTGGAGTGACCAAATCCTTCAGGGTCTGGAGAAGCAGTTACTTTCTTGATGTTAACACTGAGGTGGGGTCTCTGTAGCTTCAAAACCTACCCACTCTTGGTTTTCTGTGTACTTAGGGATTAATTAGCATCTGCTTGTTTTCATTTTAAACCCATTAAATTCCTCCTGGAAGTTATCTAGGAAGGCAGATCAAGCACTCAATCTTTTTGATGCCATCTTTCGTAAGATTGGCATCTTAATAAGCTGTAATATTCAGTGACTCTTACTCAGTTTGATGTCTGGTATGTAGTCTGGTGATTGCATTCCAATTTATGGCTGCTTTCCAGGATCATTTGCTCTTCCCTTTACAGATGCTGCTCTTCTGCTAGTTCTATGCCCCCAGTATTTGTTGATCATTACTAGGTTCCCCCTCTCTTGTTCATATGTGAGTAAACTCACACAGACTTTCCACCTAAGTCCAGACACCTGCTCTTGTAGCTTTCCTGAGCCAGAGAGTAACATTTTATCTGAACAATGGGGAACTTCTGGACCTAATTTGCAATTTTGCTCAGGCAGGATTTTCCTTTTGATATTGATGCACTGACATCAAACATATGACACTGCAATGATGCAGGAAATCAAGCTTTCTTCTCAGCTTGGTGGCATAGGAAGCCTAGCTTGATGGAATTGTCGGTGTTCTTAACAGAGAGTTGTAGCAAGGGGGTATGAAGCCATCACATTTTAACAGTGTGTGTTTAACTTTCTCTCATTTCACAGAAATACCTTCTTTACTGAATCTCTTCTGTGGCCTCACACATTCTTGAACTTCCTAGTTCCATTTATTGAAAACATGTATCCAAAATCATGTCATACAGTTTCACTGGAAAGTAATTTAGTTGGATTCTGTTACCTTGATCTCATCACTTGCCCTCCCTTTATAATGTTTAGGGTGTCCCAGGAGCATCAGGTTCACCTGGAAGAGATGGAGCTCAAGGTCAAAGGGTAAGGTAAAATGAACATGTTTTGCATTTGTTTTCAGAGTTTCCATTCCATAATGAGTTTGTGTCCCAGCATGGTTGGTTTATTATAGCTTTAGTCTCTTAGAATCTGTCATTTCTGGAGACCCATATCTCTGTGCCATTCAGAAAAGAAGACAGAGATAGGTGGAATATCCTTCCATCTGGTAGATGAGTGTTGAGAAATTCCAGACACATAACAGGGAGCAATGTACCATGTTTGTGTTTAATGAATTTGATAGTAGATGTCACTAGTGTCCAGCACTGCCAATCAGTCACTTGGCTTATACATTTAAAATTAAGTGGTGGTTAAATGGTACATAACCAGCATGCAATCCAATGCAATGAGTTAAATTTACTTTCTAGGTAATGAACAAATAACAGAGACAACTACAAGGGAATTCAATATTGAATGTAAAATAATACCTGTAGAAACTGCTGAAATAAAGGAAAAGGTGAAGAACAGTATCAAAATTTAGTCAACCCTATCCTGCCTCTGGTGGAACAAATGAGGATACTTACAAACACAGTCCTTCTAGGAATTGGTACAAAAAATATCTTCATATTCATGAGTGCAGTTAAACCTCTAAGTCCTCCTCCCTGTTTCCTTGGGGAGATTTTTGTTTCATTATTACCAGGTGCTGGCAAGTTATTGTTAGCATAAGACTAGTTTACTGTCTACAGTAGCAGTTCGTTATTAAATATGACTTTTCAGTTTCACTTGAACAAGATATACATATTCATGATAATTTTTTTGGGATATGTTAATATAACTTGAGGTCTAGAGAAAACTGGACTTTTTCTGGATTTCTGGCATTAACCTGAGACCTTGTTATATATATATATGTATATGCATATAATCCCTATAGCAAAATGCTTGCTTGGGCTCACTACTACAAAATTAAGCATTGGTATATCTATGTAGAGAAGTAATCTCTGAAGTTATTGTAGAATTTGGGCAATACATATTTGTTTTTTTCAAAAACCAAGAAAATAAACTAATTTTAATAAGATAAAGATTTACACATTATCATAAGTTTAATAACCTTCTATTCAGATGAATAGCCTTCTAATTTTCAATTAGGTTATGATGAAATTTGAAGATAATTCATTTCCTGTGATGCCTTCTTCTGTACAGAAGCTCATTTTTGCATGTTTTCAATGTCTGCTTTTTGACTGTATTGGACTTTTTTCCCCCCTGAATTCCCCAAGCTTGGTGTTGCCTGTTCATCTTGAGGTTAATAAAGATCTAGAGACTGATTTGGCTTTTTCTATCATGCTGCCTAATTTTGGTCATAGCCAGGTTGTAGTGACTTGTTGCTAGATGCTGTACATGTGAGTGGTTTGTGCCTTCTCTTTCTGCATTCCTGATCACTTGGGACACTGAACATTCAGCAGTTCAGGGAGAATAGAACACTGTGTTTTTACTTTATTCTGTAAATAAATGTATACTTAGCAGTGACAGCCCTCAGCCATGTCTTGATACCGGTTCAGAAATAATCTGGTCGTCCACATGTGGAAGTCAGCAGGTTACTGCACAGGGATGATATGTCTGAAAAAACACTGAGGGGAGGACTATTGTGGAAAAGGCTTTTGAGCCTAGAAAGGTGATGCAGGGCTTATTCTGTGGAATACCCCAGTGCTGTCTATAATAAGGCAAGGCAATTACATAAATTACCAATTTTTATAGATAGAGTAATCATGCTTGGTTCATGTGTTCACTTTCTTCTGGGGTTAATCAAAGAAGCTTGATAAATAGCTTGGATCTCATAAAATTAGGTCTGTTAGCCTGTTATTGTCTCTGTGACACTTATGCAATATTGCCCAGCAGCAATTGTTTTTCTATGGCAACAAATAATTATGTTATACTAGTTTTATGGTGTTGTAACTCACTTGATTTCTGTGAAGTTATGATAACATAAAATTGCTTTTAATGGGTGAAGATTCAAACCAGTGATTTCACCACAGTCTCTTTGAAGGCCAAGAACTGGAGAAAGGCATAATTCTAAGGGGCATAACTGCAGCAACAGCAAAGGGGAACTGGAACATTCCTGAGAAGTAAATTGCCTTTTTGTATAATGTTCCCTTTGTTGGGCTTCCTCCTGTTAGCCAAGATGCCAAACTATTTTGCAGCTATTATGCTACTAGAACTGAGGTTTTCAATGTTATTCTTTGCTTGGCCATAATTTCCTCATTAGTATTTATTGTTCACTGAAAAATGTTAATTACCAGTGCTGTGAAGTTCTTAAACAGATGGTTAAAACACACTGATTTCAATGTGAGGTAAGCAGAGGTCTGATATTTATTGGGAGATCTCAGAGCACTGGGGCTAATTTGATATTAGACTCAAGAAGTCTAAGATCTTTTTATTTCCAGTTGCTGGTAGTTGGACTCGCTTCACTTTTACAGTTATTTTTCCTTTCTTTTTTGTTTTGAGTTCTTGTGTTTCTATTTTCTGGTTTTAATGTTGAAATTAGTTAAAAATGGTCTCTTTTTTTTTTTTTCCCCCCTCTTAATGTTTTAATTCAACAATTAGTCTGTAAAGGTTCTTTTTGTATTTCTAAACTTCTGCTTTTTAGTCTCTGTTCTATTTGGTTTTTGTGGGTTTTAGCACCTCATTAAGAAATAGAGCATATCTCCTGTCAGTTGTGTGAATTCATTCAGAAATCATTTTCATAATGAAATACTCTCACTATGAAAAAATGTGGGATATGATAAAAATACTGTGTGAAGGTTAAATCAGAGTAAAATGATGTGTTGTCTGATAATAAAGCAAACTTTCTGAATATCCATTTTAATACTTTATTTAATCATCTGGTAAATAGTGTAAATCTGAATTTGAGACTCCACACTAAGAACAGTCTCCTTCCCTCTCATCAGCTTCCAGTTATAAAATAGTGCCATAAAATATTTTATTAAATAGAAAATAGTTTATTTTTATGGTTGGGACTGTGATTGGTTGTTGTCCTCTCTTACTGGCCCCTATTTGTAGCTGGCAATATAGAGAGGTTTTCCTAAAGAGAAGATTGTGTTTCTCCACCAACTCTCCCAAGCATATCATGTTAAAAGATACAGCCCGAATTGTACATGCAAGAGAATCCAAACTGGCATTGTGCTTCTGGTCAGTATGTAGACAGTTGGTTTGTCTGTTTAAGCTTAGAGTATAAAGTCTGGAAGCAGACTGACCCATATTTAGGTGGGTAGGTAGTAGGTGGGAAATCTATCCCCTTTCCCATATCTCCATGGCTACTACCCAAGGTCAGGTCACAATTGTTGTCCTGGTTCTTTCTTGGTAAATGCAGCCTGCCCCAGAGGACAGATCTACACAGATGCAACAAGAGAAACCTTGCATATTATCCTGAGGGGCAAGCATGCTCTGCTTGATGACACAATGTAGGGAGGGAGATCAATCTTTCTGACCCCCAGCTTTGGATCTCCTGTGCCTGTGATGTTGTCACTGTTTGCTGTTGGTTGGTGCTTTTCTTCTCCTGGCCAAGCCTCTCCTTGGCAAGTAGCACTGGTTACAAAGTTCCAGAGGAAGCTCTGCTGGATGTGCTTTCCCATATGCCTGCTAAGGTGGGACCACAGAGTTCAATTGTCAAGTTATTGATTGGCTCAGCTGCTGCAGCTAGATTGGAGTCCAGAAGCATTGACCAACGCTACTTTATCCTGCTTTGAAGACACTGGTCTGCAGTAAGATACCCCTAACTGATAGAGAAGATTATTCAGACTTTTAAACTTTTCTTCAGCTTTTAATAGCTCCTGTTCAGAGCAGCTGTGAGACACAGCCTGCATCTAGGCTAGTAAATTAGATATTGCCAGAACTGGCCTTGATCATTGGCTAGTGACCTGTGTGGTCTAATGCTTATCACTCTTCTTGGCAGTGTTATGCTGGGCCAATCACCACTCTTCCAGCACATGGTTCAGGGGATAACATAGATCAGAAGCCATTTCCAGTAGGCGGTTTGAATGCACACTAGTCTAGTAGGATTTATAGAATCACAGAATTAAGGTGGGAAGGGACCTTCAGAGGTCATCCAGCACTCTGCTCTATACAGTTCTGATCAAATAGCTCAGGTCCATGTTATGCTGAGTCTTGAGCACCTCCAAGTATGAACACTCCATGTCTCTGGGCAAGCTGTGACAGTATGTATTTGACCACTTTCCTTGTAACATTTTATCCTAACATGTAATTATATTTTCCCCTTTTTCCACTTCTGTGTATCACTGCACACCTCTGAGAAGAGTCTGGTTACATCTTTTTTCTCTGGTCAGGTAGTTTAAGCAGCAATAATCATGCCAAACAGAGCAAACTCACTTCTTTCAACCTTTCTTCATATGTCTTGTACTGCAGCCCCTGACCAGCTTGGTGGCCTTTCACTGGACCTGCTCCAGTATGTCAGTCTTTCCTGTACTGGGGAAACCAAAACAGGGCACTGCACTCCAGACGTAGTTTTAAAAGTGCTCAGTAGAGGTGAATGGCAGTGGGGTTGGAACTAGATGAACTTTAAGGTCCCTTCCAACCCAAACCATTCTGTGAAGGAGCATAGAATCACAGAATCATTCTAGCCACATCCAGTGCTTAGACCATGCTCCTAAGCACCACATCTGTACATCTCCTTTACACCTCTAGGGATGGAGACTAAGTCACTTCCCTGGGCAGCCTATTCCAGCATTTCCCTGAATCTAGAGCTGAACCTGCTGCCTGTGCTACAGCCAGATTGTGGTTGGCTGCCTTTGCTGCAGGGCCATGCTGATGACTTGTGTTCAGTCTCTTGTCTCCTTGAAACCCCCATGTATATTGATATGAGCTGTGTCACATCATGTTCTCCAAGGACTTAATTTATAAGTAAAGACATAGTCAAAAGGACACAGATACACAAGGAAAGGGGTACTCTCTTCCAGATATCAATCTTAATAGTGCACTGTTAGCACTGGAGGAGAAATATGACTGATTAACAAAAGATGAATATATACAAGAAATATATGTTTTAAATTCTGAAGAATTAATAGCAGTGAGGTCAGCAGCAGCCACCACTGACTTCAGCAGACTTTAGATTTTATGAGGATTTAGATGGTGCCTACATTCTGTGATGTCATAAAATCCCTTATATAAAATCTGTTGGAGCTACATTATTTTTCCATAACTCTTTTTCATGCCTTTAGCAAAACATGTCCTGATTTCAATTAAGCTTCCAAAATAATATGCGTCTTGAATCTAAAACACCCTACATCACAGACCACACATCAAAATCTGTCCCATCCTGCTCTTGGACATGCAGCTCCATGGAGGAGGTTCAGTGGCTCTGTCCAGTCATTCCTACCCTGGGTGTGACCACATAAGAGAGAAAGTGCTGTTGTGCTGTGTAATTCCCCTGGTCGTTCAGGAGATGGACAAGAAAAGAGAAGAATTAAATAAAGGGGAGGGTGAATAACATCATTGAGGCTTCAGTGCTCTGAATATAACTTTGTGAATTCTCACAGTGCTCTATTTTCCTCTACATTACGCAGACCAAAAATAATGGGAGAAAGAGCCAGAAGAAATACATTCCCAGTCATCCTGCCAGTTTCCTGGTACCTCCTAATCTCCTCTGCTCACAAGTTCAAAATGAGTATCAGACCTGTTATGGCCATTGGATGGTCTGAGTAACATCATCTTTAAACTCTCTGTTGGCAGCAAAGAGATATCTTTGGTCTTTTACCATCAGGAGAGACTAGGCATTGCCATACTCTTTCTGAAACCAGCCTTCTTTTTTACTTCATTAATAAATAGCAATTTTCACATCTAACAAATACAGTAGGAGGTGATTGTTTGGTTTTTTGTGGCCAAGTGATACAGACACAGTGCTAAGAGAAATGAATCCTAGGAGAATAGATGAGACAATTCTTAAGCAGCTAAGAGTAAGAATCTTGCTCAGAAGAAAAAAATAATCCTATTCAGAGAAACATAGTAATTCTGATCATACTTTTAGTTTTACTCTGTGACTTGGATGGGAGAAGGAAGGGACATACAGTGCTATTTTTCTTCAAAAGTATGTGTGAAGCCGCACAAGATCCTAGAAGTCACTGGAAAGCTTTCGATTTCCCTGCTTTTAGTTAAGTCCTTAAGAGAGTCCAACCAGTTTTCATACTGTTTTAGGACTGATAAAAAATAAATGACGATTTTAATTTAAACCCTTGCTTTAAAATGTGAAACATATTTATAAATATGAAGATACCAGCCTTCCTGAAGGTCTTACTGTTGTTAAAACAAGTCTCCTTTACATCTTTTAAGGACTTCAATGTTGTTATAAAACTGCAAATAGCTATAATTGAATTTTTCACAACTAAATGCTTCCAGAGAATGTCAGAAACAGTATTTTAATTTTTTTGTGCAATTAAAAGTTTCTTACAACATTCTCTGTTTCCTCTAAAAGTGCCAGTTTTGAAGACTAAACACACTTTCCTTTGCACTTTTATTTAATTGAGCTAGGCTTGCGGACTTTGCTCTGCATGTGCCTTAAAACTACTGTGACAGAGATACTACTAGTATTTTTATCTCAATGCCACTTAGCAGTTATGTTTGCTTTAGTTCTTACTGTGATAGGGGAGCTGCTTTGGTCTTTGAAGCTTCAGGAACCATATGGATACACTGTGAAATAGGAAAATATTTCCTTATCAAGATGTAAGGATGCATCAATGACATAATATCAGTTGGCTATGTGACTTACTGTTGAAATACTATTTTGGTAGAATTTTAAGAAAATCCTTTCCAGGTACATGGCAGATAACGTTCCCTAATTCAGTACCATATGGTAGAAGATTTGAATCACAGTTTCCAAATTATGTAAAGCATAAAACCAGTGGTTCATGCTATATTCATTACTACAACTGTGTCAGAAATAAAGTTTCAGAAAAAAAAAAAGTACAAAATTAAAAAGATGTAAATTTTTTTCTGAAGCTCTATGAGGTACTGAGGCCTAGAATGTTCTTTACTGTGTGTGTGAGCACAAACACTTTCAAACCCTCTTTCCTTCTAGTCTCACCTTCATATTCTGTGCTTGAGCTAGGCAAAAGATTATATTTATGAGGAGAGGCTGAGGGAGCTGGGGCTCTTCAGCCTGGAGAAGAGGAGGCTGAGGGGAGACCTCATTGCTCTCTACAACTACCTGAGAGGAGGTTGTAGTGAGGTGGGTGTTGGCATATTCTCCCTGGTGACCAGTGATAGGACAAGAGGAAAGGGGGTCAAGCTGCACCAAGTGAGGTTAAGATTGGATATTAGGAAAAATTTCTTCAGAGAAGAGTGGTGAAGCATTGGAGAATATTTTATTAATAGTGTGTTTTCTTCTACATCTGGTCAGTCTTTCTTCTATGATTTGCTTTCTTTCCAGCTTCCAAGTTATCTTTAGTTTTTGGCTCTGATTTCTGGAAGCTCTAAAGCA